AAATATTTTAATACAGCAATTAACAGCGAAAATTTATTGTTAGTTCTAAGTTGATTTTTAGAAGATTCAATAAAAATCAAAATAAAATTCAAAAAAAAAAAACCTGAGTTCACCATGCTCTGGGTGTTAGCATTAGACGCACCGTCATCGTGGTCACCTGAGTCCATAGGACTCTGGGTGCCAATCACCGAAGAGGTGTTCCCACAGCTTGATACCATTGGTCTCCGAGCAGATGGGTTCAGACCATCCAGATTCTGAATCTTGAGAGATGCTTCGAGCCTCTTTTCAAGATTTCCTCCAACCTTCGTTGGCGAACGGAGTAGAGCTTCTTCCTCTGACTCTGTAATTATATTATTAATAGGTAAATTTAAATTATTTTCCATATATAGTGTTTAATAGAAGGGAAAGAACAGTCACCCAAAGCAGAGCCCAATACTTTGAGAAGACATTAGTTAAAACAGGAGAGCGCCCGGTGTCCTGAGTTCATTACTAAAAGACTGGATGCACCCCTCCAACCAAGCATCCTCGGCGTAACAGTCTACCTCAGATTTGGGGGTTTTTTCGGGTATCGTACAGACTTGATAGTTACACATATTAAAACAATAATTACTAGAAATACGTACCCGGGAAGTTTTCTCTTCCCAGCCCGACAATCAGCAGTCCAACCTTAGCAGAGACATGGCCATATTAAGAGCTTCCCATCAGCCTGAGAGATTGTCGCACTTACCCTGACGAGTCTGGCTGATAAGCTGAAACTTAGTAGACGGTTTTTACCGCCACCTACTCTCTGAGACGCTAGAGTATTGTTTAGCCATTCAGACCTTGCTAGCTTGCTTCTAGTAATTATTAATCCTTTTTAATACTACAATACTATAATAAAGTATAGTTTCGCTAATTAAGAAGTTTGTTTCATTTTTACAAAATCCTATGATTCGAATATACACGCATACAGGAGATTACGTAACATTTGGTGTCAGAAGTGGGATTTTGTAAAATGGTGAAATTGGAAGAATTGACTGTGATTCAACTGAAAAAGCAGTTGGAGAAAGTGGGACTTGGCACAGGTGGTGCGAAAGCAGAACTGTAGTTGAGACTTCGTGAGGCGTTAGAGGCTAATGGCATAAATTTAGAAGAACACGAGTTCCTCGATGAAAAACCTGACAAGAATAGTGAAATGATGGCAATCATGAACTTAATGATGCAGAAGCTTGAGAAAAATTCAGAAAAACAGGCGCACGGTTTACGCAAGTTGGAAGAAAAGCTTGCGCAAAATTCAGAGGACCACGCGCACGGTTTACGTAAATTGGAAGAAAAGCTTGCGCAAAATTCAGAGGAACAGGCGCACGGTTTACGCAAGTTGGAACAACAAGCTTGTGATATTCACAAGGCAACGTGGCTATCTCCTGATCAAGCAACACAAAACCAGATTGATCACTTCGTGATCACGCTTCTAGTGTGCTGGACGTACGTTCAATCCGTGGTCCAAACATCAACTCAGATCACTACCTTGTCGTAGGCAAGGAACGCATGCGGCTTAGTACCGACAACAATGTACGCTCCCATGTTCAGAAAAAACTTGACGTTAGTAAGCTGCGATCACGAGAGACAGCCGAAGTCTTCGCCGCTCAGCTCTCTAGCCGATTAAACAACCATCCCGATAATGCTGGTAGACAGTGGGGACATATCTCTCACTCACTCATATCTCTCACATATCTACCCGTAGCTCCGTCAAGGTAGGATCGAGTCTCTCTGAACCTTTTGATACCGTGCGAGGCTTCAGACAAGGTGATCCCTTATCATGTGACCTCTTCAATTTCCTCATGAAAGTGATCATGCGCAGGGCAGGTGTTCATCGTAATGGAACAATATTCTACAAATGTGTCCAGCTCCTAGCTTACGCCGACGACATTGACATCATTGGGCGTAGCAAGCGTGATATTACAGCTGCTTTTGCTGCTTTCGAAAAGTAATCTGCAAGAATGGGTTTAGCGGTGAATGAGGCAAAAACGAAGTATATGTCGGCTACTGGTAGAAATGTGCGTCGCTCGGACACCGGGCTAGTGGCAGGCGACTATACTTTCGAATCTGTCAAGGATTTCATCTACCTTGGCACCGCCGTAACGAATACAAATGATGTCAGTCTGGAGATCAGACGAAGAATCACCATTGCTAATAGGTGCTACTATGGGCTCAGTAGGCAATTGGGATGTAGAGCTCTATCTCGACAAATGAAACTTACGTTCTATAGGTCGCTCATCCTCCCTGTGCTTCTGTATGGCGCAGAAGCATGGACGTTATCACAGAATGATGAAGCAGCACTGGGAGTGTTCGAGAGAAAAGTTCTTCGTAAGATCTTTGGTCCTCTACGAGTTGACGACGACTACCGCATTAGAATGAACCACGAGCTGTACGAGCTTTATCACGAAATTGATAAAATTCAGCGCATTAACATCCAGCGGCTTCGCTGGCTTGGTCATGTCGTGAAAATGGATGAAGACGCTCCGGCGAAAAAGGTGTTTGAAACAGCAGTTGGCGGAAGAAGACGTAGAGGTGGACCGTGTCTCCGCTGGAGTGATCAAGTTGAGGGAGCACTAACTGGACTTGATACACGGGACTGGAGAAAGCGCGCACGCAGCAGAGGCGCCTGGAGAGACATGCTGCGTCAGGCCGAAACTCGGTAACGGGTTGTTATGGCCACATAAGTAAGTAAGTAATATACTTAAGAAGTTAACCGATTGAGACATCTTCAACACATAGTTTTGGAACGCTTCAACAGCATCTTGTAATGGTATATCTATAGTTGACCTTACTCAATGTTAAGGCCGCCTTTGATGACTAATTCATTCATATACTTCTTTACACTTATGTTCTGATTTAAATGTGCTAACCATTGCATATTAGTAATTTATGGCATGAGTCAGAAAATGATGCTGTAGTAACTTCGCTAGTTACACATAAATAAATACACTAATTGTTAATCTTACACCAAACGCATATCTTGCCGCCCTTTTTCTCCCAGCTGCTCTTCTCTTGTCCCGTGTTGTACAACGTACTTTTACTACCAGTGTTGTACTACGTCCGCTTACTACAGTCCTCCCCTTTTAATATTGTTGGTAGTCTTGATGCTAACGTGGCGCATGCCCCTTTGTAGCCCTTTGAGATCGTCTTAACTCTTTGTAACGTGTTATAGTCGATATTTCCTGATTGCTATTAACATCATCATTGGAATTAGTCTGTTGCTCGATAGCAGGGGATAGGATCTCTTCCGGTACATAAGTTCGACTGTATGCGACTGTATGACTGTATTCGACTGTATGAATTCACTGTATGCGTGAATTCTGGAACTTCAAACAGTTCATTTAGTACGTTTTTTGTATAACGATATTTCAGCTGGTTTACATGTGCTTTAATAACGCGCTCATTACTTTCCTGGTCAGTTTTGACTTCATAATTGACTACTCCAAGTTTCTTTATGATTACAGCAGGTATCCAAGTCCATTTATTATTGTTGGAATGTTTATAGTAAACGTTATCTCCAATGCTGAACTGCTTTAATTTTGTCTCTTGCTGATTACTTTGTTTTTCAGATGGTGATTTCATACCGAAATTGAAGGATGGTGTGTATCGATAACAAGTGAGGAATTCGTTGAGCTTCCTGTCGATATTTCCCTTTGCCTTTTTAAGTCCTGATTTGAGTAGGTCAACGAACCGTTCTGCTTGGCTATTTGATTGTGGACTGTATGGAGCTGTAGATATGTGATTAATTCCTTGGAATTCGCAAAAATTTTTGAATTCCTGCGAGATGAATTGCGGAGCATTATCACTAACAATCGTGTCACAAAGGCCGTGTTGCGCAAAAGCTTTCTCAATGAACTCAATAGTTTTAGCTGCAGTAGTAATTGAAGTTTTGAATATTTCTGGCCATTTGCTAAAAGCGTCTATGATAACAAGGAAGTAATAGCCATCGATTGGACCAGCGTAGTCAATATGAATTCGTTTTCATGGTGCAGAAGGAATTTTCCACTGTTGAGGAGTACATTTCATTGGACTTTTTGAGGCTGTAGCGCATGTGTCACAAGTTTTGACCACATGTTCATGATTAATGTTTGGCCAAAAAACTTTGGTAGCAGCAAGAAGTTTCATACGACACTCACCTGGATGTCCATTATGGAGATCTTCAAGGACTTGCTGGTGGTAAATTTTGGGAATAACAATTCTCTCACCAAAGAAAATACTCTGTTGTTGGATCGTAAGATGATGTCGATGCTGGAAAAATGCTGCTACTTCATTATCTGTGATTTGTTTTTTCTTTTGAGGCCAGCAGTCATTTTGGATGTAGAACGTGACCTTATTGAGAGTATGGCAGGCTTTGGTTGCTGTTTGAATATTAGTGAAAGTGATTGGAAGTTTGGCGGCTGTTTCTATCGCAAAACAATTGATGTTCAGGTCCTCGTCTTCTTCTAATTGAATAGATGCTATGACGGTATCTTCATCAGGTTTTACATGGTTTGCGATTAGTCGAGAAATAATATCGGCATATCCAAAGCTTTCAGTATTTATGTATTCAATAGAGAAGTCGTGGTCGATATGAATGGTAAAGCGACGATCAGAAATGTAATAGTGACATTTTTTTGATCCAAACACGAGAGCTCGAGCCTCCTTGTGCATTTGAGGATACTTCCGCTCTGCTGCATTGAATGAAGCTGCGTTGTGCATAATTGGGTGAAGCGTTCCGTCATTAAATTGATGCATTAGAACTGCTCCCATACCGTATTCTGAAGCATCAGTAGCTAAAATTATTTTCTTTGTTGGATCGAAGTGCGTGAGACATAGATCAGAAGCTAATACATTTTTAATCTTGTTGAATGCTTCATTATGATGTTGTTTCCACTCAAACTTCTTATCTTTTTTTAAAAGTTCATCTAAAGGACCGCGAAAGCTTTTCATACTTTTAATGAATTTCCTATAATTATTTACAGCTCCTAAAACTCCTAAAATGCTCATGTTTGTTGCAAATTTGTTGGTGGTGGGAGATCTTGGATTGATCGAAGTTTCCCTGGATGTGGTCTGATACCATATTGATCTACCGTGTGTCCGCAGAACTCGACAGATGTTTCTCCAAACTTACATTTCTCGAAACGAAGTTTGAATCCATAATCCTGAATACGCTTTAAGGTTTTAAACAGTTGAGTTTTGTGGTCTTCTTCATTAATTCCCGAACAGATCATATCATCAATAAACCCAATGGTATTGGTTCCGCTAAGCATTGTGTCAACAATCTGTTGAAAAATGCCAGGGGCTGTTTTAACACCTTGCTGCAGTCTAAGTACTTTAAATAAGCCGAGGTGAGTATTGATAGCCATCAGTTTTTGAGATTCTTGGTCCAATGGAATCTGGAAAAATGCATCTGATAGGTCAATTGTGCTAAAGACTTTCTTATTAGCAAGTTTGGAGAATATTTGGTCAGGCGTTGGAAGAGGATATTTATTTGGCTCTAGACCGTCAGTTAGACCTGTAGAATAATCGGCACATATACGAATTTTTCCATTCTTCTTTCTTACAACTACGACTGGCGCCGCTGACTGTAAGTATTCAGTTGGTGAAATTACTCCAAGATGTTGAAGACGTTCAAGTTTTGCCGAAACTATGGGAGCTGCTGCATATGGAACTGGTCGAGCGTTACGATAAACAGGTCGCGCTCTTTCTTTTAGCCTCAGAGTCGCTTGGGTCTTCGTACAGCAACCAAGGTCATTAGAAAAGAGAGACAGAAATCTAGCCTTTATTTCATCGTTTAATTTATCGCTACTATTTAGTTGGATTGCTTTGCAAAAGAAACTGATAGGCACCGACCATAAGTCAAATGTCGTTATCCAATCAATTCCAAACACGTTCAACTTAAGTGGTGTGACATAACACACATCATATTCCTCTCTTCCATTTAGTTTCACAACACAAGCAAAGCTGCCCAGAAGAGGAATTACATTTCCAGAAGCATCGCCAGCTTTTTTATTAGTAGTCCGACCCGATATCAGTTTAATTGTAGATCCATTGAGATTTGGTCTGACATATCTACGATGCTGCTGCGTTCTGTTAGTTTCGTCAATTTTCTTCACACATGATGCGTCAGGCTGAGATTTTCTGCGTCGCAACTTGCTTGGCTTCATATTGCAGTAACCATTTTTATGGCCAATAGTGTTACATGCTGAACATTCTTTGCCTTTAAATGGGCAATCTTTAACCCAATGAAGACCTCCACTACACCCACATGGCGTTGGTGGTTTCGAAGATTCGTCTTTTGTTGAAGAATTTGATAGTAATGATTCATTTTTGCGTTGATATCGATGGTGAATTGCAAGAACTTCTGAACTTGAAGATGGCTGGACGACAGTGTATTTGTCTTGCATCAGACAGATTATACGTTCAGCTTCATTAGTGAGGTCTTGAAGTGTTAAGTGCATGAAGGCATCCTTTTGCGCCTGTGTCTGAAGTGCACCAAACTGTGTTGATTCATTGTCGAGTCTTGCAAGGAGTTTCTCGAGTATTAACGAATCATGTGAACTCTTCAAGCCATTGACAAAGATTTGTGCTTTAAACTCATCGGTAGTGCAATTAACGATGTCAAATTTTTCACAATGTTTGTTGACGCGAGCTGCATACTGAGCAAAGTCTTCATAATCCTGTTTTGAAATTGTAAGACATTTTTGGCGCTGAGAAAATTTTGGTTGGCGATATCCGAAAATAGACGAGAGTTTGGCAACCGTTTGCATGAGTGTAAGCTCATGGGGTTGCTTTGGTAAGATTGAGTTTGCATATTGCTCGAAATCAAAATTTTTTAATTTGCTATTGAGCAATCGAGACTTAGTCGGCTCGGTGAGATGTGCTGCTTCTATAGCGAAAACTGATTTATAACGCTTGTACCATGATGCAAATGTGACATTATTTTCAGGATCATAGCAAAACTCCAGCATTGAGTCAGATAGATTCCTGAATATTGACGAAACTGCTTCTATAGTTGAAGAAGGCGCATCAATTTGTTGATGTGTCCGCCGCAAACGAAACTCCTTAAGCAAAGCGTTATTTGATTTTTGCACAGCTTGCAACAACAAATTAAACTGTTCCGCATTCATGTTAGCTTTATCCTCGTCGCCAATGTAGTAACTTCGCTAGTTACACATAAATAAATACACTAATTGTTAATCTTACACCAAACGCTTATCTTGACGCCCTTTTTATCTCAGCTGCTCTTCTCTTGTCCCGTGTTGTACAACGTACGTTTACTACCAGTGTTGTACGTCCGTTTACTACAGATACTTCTGACATAAATACTTTGCCACTTGAAATTCGGTTAAGAGCTCATGTGGTGTCAAATATATTGAGACCACACAAATTGGAACACATGTGAATGTGAATCACGTAACAAACAAATGCACAGTATATAAGTACTTACTATGCATTTCTTATCTTAAGTAATGTGTCATTAATAAATAGGAAGTATATGGAAATTATAATTGTTAAGTATATAAGAATAACCAATTAGAATAAAGAGATTATTGTTAGATTTAGTTAACTATTGTTAGAATAAGATAAAGATATCATTTAAAAATAAATAATGAAACTATTGTAAGATTTAGAATAAGTTTCAGAACATAGTCGATTGTAGAACGTGATCTGACTAAGATCATTTTAATAATATACTAATAAATGATTAAATAAAATAAAAATAAACTTTTTATATAATTAATGTATTTTCATTAAATCTCAAATTAAATCCCATCACAATCTTCTGGCGATGAAAATCGTTGACCACGTATTTTTTTTTAATGTGTGGGAATAAAAAGTCATTGGCTGCCAAGTCTCTTGTTCCGTCCTTCGTTGCTCAAACGGAATAGTCGCCATATGACCAGTTTTGCCCAAGAAACAAGCGACCATTTACCTAGAAGTGTTTCTTCCACGAACAACTTTCGTTGGATTTGGCTCGTCTTCGAGCCACACGGTCGATTGTTGTTTTGTTTCGGGCTCAAATAAAAATAAAACAATTTACCATTAAATGACAACACGTTCTGAGTGATGTTATGCTCAAAAATGTCAACCTTTCCAATGAAAATGCAGGTTGCACCTGGCAACACTTAGTGCTGCCTGTGCCAGAAATATATATAACAGCTCTCGTATTTGTTATTATTCGTATATTTTTCTTTTCAATTATTTTTCTTCGATAGCAATTTTTCGCTTCTTAATTTTACTGTACCCACGTTTCGTGTTTAATTTTCTCAAAATTCAATTTTTTTTTTTGCTCAAATAATAATTTTTTTTTTATACCGTAGCTGACTTATGGAATAATTTGCTCTGTGTTTGGTAATTTTCAGGGACGCGAGGGTGATAGTGAGGCTTTGTACGGCAGACACTGGTGGTACAGAGGTCGTAGCTCTGTTGTCTGCATGTGCTTTGATAAAAAGAACTTCGGAAATTTCGTTTATCAAATTTATTCACAATAAATTTATTGTGACGACTCTGGACAACGGCTGAGGATACCCCAGCGAAACATTTTTTTTGAACGCACCAAAAAGTGTCGTTACAGGCGTTTACATTGACCGAAAATGGCTCATTTTGAATGAGCCATATAAAAATGTTTACATTCGTTGTATTTTATTCGTTCTCATTTCAAACAGCTGATTTGTCAACGTGAATTTTATTTGAAATTTAAAGTAATAATATATTTTGTTTAAATTTACATTTGTTTACAAAATTGAACAATATATATTATAAAGTGATTATTGCAGAACAATTAAATTTTTTACAAACAATAAAAGTTGCTGCAATCACATTAACAAGTAGTATAAATAAAGCGAAACGAAATAAAAAGAATAAACTAAAAATGCATTGTTAATGAATGCACTAGTCGCCCAAGTAGAGCCTGCGCGAAAAAAATGTTGGATGAAAGTAAAATATATAACATAAAAATAAAAAATATATAATATAAACTAAAAATTTATTTTTTGGTTTCGATGAAGTACTTTTTGTGAAGAAGAAGTTCCAAAAAGAGATGCATCGTTTTTCAAGGAAAACTTTAGAACGACAATGGACACGTTTAAAGAGTTATGCGATTTGGTCAAAAGTATTAAAAAACAAAACAGTAACTTTCGCAGACCAATTCTATTAGAGACGAGAGTTGTCATTGTAGTGTACACACTTGGCTTATCCGCGGAGTTCAGAACTGCGGCAACGTTTTCGGAGTGTCTAAATCATCTGTATGCGTAATCCTTAAAGAATTTTGCACTAAAGTCTGGAAAGTAATGCAACCAATTTACTTAAACCAGTACCCCTTAAATGAAACAACAATTCGTGATTGCATCAAAGGTTTTAATATATTAGGGTTTCCACAATGCATCAGTGCTATAGGTAAGTCAATATCCAATATGAATATAAGTGTATACATTTTTTTGCTTCTGACGGTTGTCACATTGAAGTGCGTCCTCGAAAGTCAGAAGCCATTGATTATTACAACTACAAGGGTTGGTATTCTGTAGTTCTTCTGGCAGCTGTAGACTATAGGTAGGAATTTAAAATTTATAAATTGAAACCTAGATAATATCTTCACCAAATAACTTCTTCTATATTAAAAATGTCGCTTTATGTATATTAACATTGCCCTGGTCGTTGTAACGATTCTCAAATATTTGAGAAACCTAAATTGAAACATCATATGAAACCGATGATGAAAGAATTTTGTGTTGAAATTAATGGCGTGTGCGTGCCTCCACTATTGTTGGGAGATTTTGCATTCCGCTTTTCTGAAATTTTAATGAAACTAGTCCAACAGAAAAGCATTTCAATTATGTTCTTTCAAAGTGCAGAAGGGTAGTGGAGAACGATTTTGGGCACCTCAAAGCAAGATTCAGAAGAATTGTAAAGGGACTAGACAACAACATTGATAATGTTAACTTAATTATAAAAAGTGCTTGTGCCCTACACAACTTTTTAAATGAGAGAAGTGACAAATTTAACCGCAATTGGAAAAACCAATTAAAGGAATGAGGAGCCAATAACGTCAAACCCCAACCGGAATGGACCTCTATATCATCTGACAATGATTCAACATCCGAATATATAAGATCAGCCATTGCTATATTTTTAGGTAATCTTTATTTATAAATATTACTAATTACTGTTTATCCTGAATATTACTATATTAATATTATAGCATTGACAGACGAGCGCACTAAATTATCATTAAGCAGCCTTAAACGATCATTTTAAAAATACCCTGACAGACGGTATAAATTATCATTAAGAAGTTGCTGTATCATATGTTTTTTGTTATTGAAAAAGCAAAGGAAAGAATTTTAAATTCAAAATGGATAAGCAAGAAAAATTAAAGAAACTTGCTTTAATTAAATATAAAATATATAAAAAAAATATAAAATATATAAAATATATCGAGTATTTACATTTACCAATGTTTCCAAATATGTTTTGTTTACATTTTGGCAACCAAATAGTTTGAAATTTGTTCCATCTTTTATTTCGTTTCGCTTGCATATGCAGCATTATCATTTCTAAAAACCTAAATGATGAATAAATTGGGTTAAATTCGGTCATTTAAAGACCATAAATGATAATTTAAAACTGCTAAATGAGCAAATAAATTATAATTTAGCCCCTTAATGATAATTTAGCTCCCGTCAGTTGCGGCAAGCCAGTCTTTTAGTTTCTGAAACTGCGCCTATAAGAGCCGTCTTTTATGTCTTTTACAAAACCTTCTTGTTGAATTGAAGCCTGTAAAATTGAAAAATAATTAATTAAGAATTACACAAATGAAAACTTCAAATTCTGCTTCCTCCTGCAGAAAATCTATTGTTTGGAACACTTCCCGCTTTGGCCACTTCTTGTGCGACTGCAACTTTTTTTCTTCCATTTTTATTTGACAATAGTGAGAAAAATTTATTTAGACAATCAAAATTTGTATAATTCGAGTTGTTCAATAACTCGTTTGTTATTGAAACTGAATCGACACTTGAATCGATTCAGTGTTGCTTATGATTAGAAATCCGGCACTTGAACGAGTTCCTATTGCGAGTCCTGAATTTGGCACTTGAACCAACTTCAGGTGACCTGCTCTTGAATAATAATCTTATTTAGTGTGGTGAGCAACTAGGCACTTTAACCTATTTGCTTTGAGTCTTAATCGGCACTTGAAAACAAATCAAAAACTCCAATGAATTCTAGAATTGAATTGCATTTTATTACTAAAAATTTGGGTTTTTATACAAATTTGGCAAGGTGTTGATACATACAATTCCCACAATAATGCCCTATACCTTAAGCTGCATTAAAGTAGCGATTTGATACCGCTCAGCTTAGTCGTGGGAATGTTCACAGTTCTCATGGAAATTGTATATATTTAAGAATAACAAATAAGGAATATTACTTGCGTAATTTTCTTAGCAACCTGGTATATGCTGATAAACTTATTTTCTTTTAAACTTGAACTAAGTCCATATACCAGCTTGCTTTACAAACATAATTATTATTTTAATAATAATAATACTGACCTTGCACAAACGAATTTTCATTTCTCATAATGTTCTGTATTAAAATATTGCACATGCCAAATGCATGGCTTATCTGCAGTTTCATATGATGAGCAAAGTGTACTCGTGTGATATACAACTGTTGTTGTTGTTTTTGATAAATGTTGATATCTTAACCCACCGTTCAAGGCTAAGTTATCAAGTCATTAACATTATGAGAATAAAAATTCGCTTTGACAACAAAACAAAAAATAATGAAATACGGCATTACTTTGCGATGTTACACACTGACGTTTATGTCTCTTCAAACCAAATGACCTTTTGAGGCGTTTCAAGCAGCAGAGAGATGGCTACCTCAGATCTACATATCCACCTTAGATAAGTTAGAATACTTGTGATACTAATTAAAAAACCTCTTGTTAGTCAATATGACTTGTCGTTGTTAATTTAAACTACACACTTTGTTTAAATATAATAAAAAATTCTTGCATTTCGGACACCTTACAATGACTTTGTAAGACAGAGTGAATACGAGTATGCAACAGTTATTTACTACCAAAGCAGTAACAAAATAACTATTAATATTATTATTCAAATATATTCGATATTTTCGTGCTTTGAGTCACTAAAGTTAGAAAGCTTATGTTTTGATTTTGGGTATGGTGTTTATAATTTATTGTGTGATATGTGTGGTCTATTTCCATATCATATTCGAATTAATTGGAGGCTTCAATCGTTATGATTGAGTACATTTTATTCTCTACTTATTCTACAGACAATAACATATAATTATGTTTTTATTTCTGGTTTTACATTTGTTAATTTGCATTCTTAAAGTTAATTAAATCTAAATTTAGATCTAAGTTTAAAGTTATAAGCTCTCTTTTACAAGCGAGAGACTTATATATTATTATGTTACCCCTTCACCTCTAAGATATTTACGTCCCTGCTAATCAATTTAATATATAACAAAACATTCAATAACTTAAGTTTATTGTTTCAATAATTGTACTTTTATTATTTCGTTGTAATTAAGATTTATAGTATTTGGTGCTTTTTCTATGTATCGATGTTCCTAATGTACAATTACCTTCCTTACTAAAGTTTGGTTTATATTTTGATGTGTTACATTTTATCAATTGTAGTCAAATACATGTTGTTTCATCTAAGGTACGATATATCTACATTAGTTACGTCCCTTCACATAAACATTAAAAGATAATGTGAGCAACAACAAATAAATATTGTTTTGCTTAAACCATTGAGTAAGAATATTATAGAGTCACAATGACTCAATTTTTAAATTTTCAGCAACAGGCACGGGAGGGCGGAGTGAAGATTTTACTTCTTTCTGCGCTGCTGCTAGATCGGTCGCGCTTATGCTTGTTCTTTCTCAAAATTTTACTATTGATGAATGAAGGACAAAAATGAAAACAAAAAACAGATTTGCTTGTTTGCGAAGAAAAGAGTCAAATTAGTTTTTGGTGTAATTATTTGTTTTTGCAATTAATGCTTGGCACCAGCAAGCAGCACGTAAAAATTTCGTGCATTTAATATTACTTCATAATGCAAATAAGAGAAACATCCCTACTTGTTTGGAAGTTTACTGATCTACATATATATGTGTATGTGTATAAATGTATATTTATAAACATATGTACTTTTATTTGGAAGAATATGAATATTTTTTGATTTTATTTTAGGAACATTTGAAGCAAATGCAACCAATTTCAATTTTTTGTTTTAATCAGGTATAATAACAGTTATATGTATGTTATATTAGTATTAGCTAAAATAAGATAATTGTATGTAATTGACCGTGTGTGAGTTCGAGTAATTGAAAGTAAATTAAGGAAAATAGTAAATTATGTCCGTATGGCAGCGAATGTTGGTATTTACCAGAATTTCGAGTAGGGTAAATTAGGTAAATTAGGTATTACCATTGGTAACTTTTTATAAGATGTATAATAAAAAAATAAATAAATTTGAAAACTTTTAACATAAGTGCATTGCAAAAAAACCCTAAGAAATTTCAGTTTACTTTACCATAATTTACCGAGTTGGTTTATTGGGGCATGCAGACTTCATCGAATTGAATTGCTGGGCTTTATTCTGCTTATATTACTTCGTAAGCAATTCCTTTGGATGGTAGAGAAAGTGAAATCGACTAAGGCATAAATTGTTATATGACCTTATATTACAAATTTGCCCTAATACAGGCTTAATAACATCTATTTATAATTTATTTATTACCATAACTACTTACTTTATTTATTTATTTTGTTCAAAATACATAGTTTAAGTGAATTAATTTTAAGATAGTTATTAATAAACATGCGTTAATAAATATGTATAAAAATGTAAATATTAATATTTATTACGTAGAAACTTTTGCTATTTTTTATGGTTATTCACGGGATATTGATCAATTTATAATTTTTTGTGTTAATATACATTAATATTTTAAACAAAGCAATTTATACATATAAACAATTAAAAATAATGTATCATATATATATCTAATAACGGCAAGAACTAACAAATGTGTTCTCTTATTGGTGGTGATATTCCTCTATTCCTGAGC